TGGGTTTTCCATTAATTTTTGAATAGTGGTAGGGTATATTAGGTAAGGATTATGATATTTTATTTGATTTTAAAATAAGTATAGTGGATGGCTGATTTGGGTTGATTTTTGTTGCTGCTTGACGTAGGGGATGACGCGAAACCTTCAGGTATCATCATCGACGCTGGTCCAGTAGTCGTGGTGAATAAGCGTTCGGTGGTGCTGGAAACCATTTAGGGTTAAAACCCTAATTTGGTTAGGGTCTGATGAATTTGGGCCGGTTCATGAGCCTTGGGTATGGATCCGGTTTGCTTCAGGTCGGTTCGGGTTCCCTCCAGGCCGGGTCTGAATCTGGGTCAGGGCTCCAGCTGGGTTGTATTCTAGCATGTTGGATTGACTTGTAATGGGCTACTGACTTGTAATGGGCTGTTGGGTTTTGCACTTGGGTAGCCTGTACACATGTAAAATTGTTTAATTAATAATAATAATAATAATAATAATAATAATAAATATATATTTTTTAAGCCCGATCAAAAACATGTGTCTACAGGGTGAAATCACCCCTAAACTTTAGTCAGGTTTCGAGTGAAAGATATATATTTTCAATTCGGTTCAGATTGACCAAAAACTCGACTCGACCCACAAGAATGGACCTAAGTAAGGGCGTTCGCCCCATAAAAATCTAAAATTACCATATATTTTAGATTTTTTTCTATGTATTTTCTATTAAAAATTTGTTTTCTCCCCTTGAATTTTATAAATTCGAATTCATCTCCAATATAAAATTTTGCGTCACCCATGTCCATCCCCAAGAGAGAAGTGGTGGAGCTTGGTTTAAGGTCGAAGATGGGATAAACTAGGGTCGAGAGGAATGAGTTCCTGGCATCCTTGAGTTAGGTAGGGTTAATGGTGGACCCATACTTTTTTAGGGTGAGTAAGTATTCATCATGAAATTTAATTTTTTTATTAATTATTTATTTTATTGATAATATTTATTTTAAATTTTTTATGTCCACTTATACAAAAAATTTATGTTATTAATATGTGTGTCCATCTTCATAAATATTTTTGAATCTATTATGATTTATGGCGAGCAATAAGAAAAAGGTTTTCGTTATTGAAATGTGGTGACCTCTACCAACATAACGAAGAAAACATGGTGTTAAAGGTATGGTTCTTGTCGGAAAAGGATTGACCAGGAGGCTAAGATTTAAGAAATCTTTTTTTAATATTTTAGGGTGACTATAAAGTAATATATGCAAAGATAATTTTCTTAATTTATTGATAACCTACATGCTCTTTGAGAGAATTTTCATGGTGAATTGGTGATATTCCACTACAACAAAAGTGTTCTGTAGCGGCGTTTACAATCCAAATGCCACAAAATGATACTTTAGCGGCGTTTTTTCAACAAATGCCACAATATAATGGTAATTTAGCGGCGTTTATAGCTCAAACGCTGGAATAGAGTGGTTTATAGCGGTGTTGCAAAAATGTTGTTTATAGTGGCGTTTGTGCAACAAACGATGTTATAGAGAAGTAATTTAGCGGTAATTTATTAAGAAAACGTGGCAATAGTGTTGTTTCTAGTGGCGTTTGTGCAAAAAACGCCGCAGTAGAGTACTAAATTAGCAGCCTTTGTCCTGCAAATGCCGCAATATATTTTTTTATAGTGGCGTTTTTATAAAAACGCCGCAAAAACATGTACTACAATGGTGTTTGTTTAAAAAACGCCTCCAAGGGTCAATATATGCTCCACCCTTTTCTCCTGCCCAATCCCTAAAATCATTTCAACGCTGCTTCCCTAAAAGGGATTTCTCTAGTGCAACAACAACCCTCAGACGATTCCAGGCAACATCGTCTTCTGTCTGTCCCGGTGACAAAATCAGCCCTCTCACCGGCGAACAACTATCTTACGATTGCATGGTATGATCCCTTCTCTCACTATTGAAAATTTTCAATTATTTTTTCTTGGTATTTTGAAAATGGGTAAAACCTAGAAAGCTAACGTAATGGAGAGAAATAATAGCTTTCGAATAGGAAAAGAATATCTATACATATTGTTTTACTGGTTTACTGCTTGGGAGTAGTGTTTTTCTGCTTTCGAATAGAAAACTAATAGCTTTTGAATTGGAACATAATAGCTTTTCAAAACGTGAACAAATGGTTGTGGTACAAAGAGCAAGTGTTGCATTCAGTAAGAGAAATTATTGTCGGAATGTCCACGTGGCGTCTTTGCTCTGACGATGGATCAAATTATCATTGGGATGCTATCAGTCCGAACTTGCCGTCGAAACTCGATGATGACCCGAAAGGCCCTCCTATTTCAAAATACCCTTCCATGGTCGATCTCCTAATTGAAGGTAATAATTAATCGCTGAAAGTTTATCCCGCTATATTTTATTTTGTACTCTAAAATTTCATAGATCACACGCATGTAGGTTGTTCAAAGCTTATTGAGAACGATGATAGAGGAGTGGATAAATACCCGATATTTAGAACCGAAATTGGTAACTCTGTGGCGCTGAAAGAATCTTCAATTGCAAAAGGAATATCTATCCTCAATGAAGACGACATTGCCTCTATTGATACTCCAAGTAAACGTTTCTATCTTCTATTTAAATTTTTTTAATGTTTGATTCAGTTCCAAAGTCACCTCCAAACAAGTTTCATATTGTAGGTGGAAGGTCGTTATCTGTTTCAAGTGAAGCACTGCAGCGCGCAAGGAGTCTTCTTGGTGAACCGGATGCAGGGGATTTATTTGGTGAAATGGATGAAGAGTGTCTTCATATAGAGTTTACACGGAGGAAAAACTTAACGATGCATCGTAAAACAAGGAAAACAACTTTCTTATGTCCTTTCCCCACGAAGGAGCGCAATGAAGAATAAATTTTAGTGAACAATTTGATGAAGACTGTTTATGTATAACTTTAATGTTTCTAAATTTTAATGTATTTTGTTGTTAAGTATTTGTTTGCATAACTTCTGTCTTAATTAAAATGTATGGTTGTTGTTAATTACATAAAGCTACATGATAGAAAATTCAATTTATGTAGAGCAGAAATGAAACATTTAACATCAATTAATCTTATATAAATAAAGGTTTAGCGGCGTTTTGGTATAAAAACGCCGCTAAATTCTATACTTTAGTAGCATTTTTATAAAAATGCCGCAAAAGGTCGTACTTTAGTCGCGTTTTACATACAAACGTCGCTAATTACGCATACTCTAGTGGCGTTTTAGTCCATAAACGCTGCAAAATAGTAATACTTTAGTGGCGTTTGTTTACAAACGCCGCAAATGCCGCAAAAGACCATGAATGTTGTGGCGTTTTTCTGTAAAGGTCGCGATAGAGTAGAACTATAGAGGCTTTTTCATACAAACGTCTGTGATATTTTTATACTAAACGCCGCGATAGAGTAGAACTCTAGAGGCGTTTTTCAGAAAAAAGCTGCCATAGTCTTGGATAGTAGTGGCGTTTTTTTAGTAATAGCCGCTATTGAGTAGCACTATAGAGGCGCCGCAAAGTTGTATAAAAAACCCCAAATGTTTTTCGAATTCCCGCAGTTGTCTTCATCTAGCATCCAGCATCCAGCATCCAGCAGTTGTCTGTGCTCCCTCACATCATTTTCAGCCAATCGAGCTTCCAGTGGCCACCATTCACGCACCTGGTTCCAGCGTCTCACCCGAACCATTGGAACCCAGACGATTGAAACCCAAGGATCTCCTTTAGCTTTTTCGGGACGACGAAGGTTAGAACCTGCGTTTGCTTCACATATTTCTTTTCTTTTTCGGAACTTTGATTTTATTTATCTGAAAAGAATACTTGTTGAAGTTTCTACTGCCTCTAGATGTAAGAAATAAAATTAGGATCGAAAATTTTTTCTTGTAACCAGAAAATTTTGTAACCCAAGGATCGAAAATTTTTATTGTGCACAATGGATCTTGTAACCAGGAAATAAGCCTCTTTTGTGTTTCAGATTCACTTTGTTCTTTTAATTATCCGACAAGGGAAAGGTATTTAGAAGAATTGCCTGTGTATAAAACAACCCATTTTTGTTACACATCGAGCCATTGCTAAAGGTTTGATTCTGTAATATCTGAACAATTTGGGGGTTTACTCCAAGAAAATAATTATGGTTTGATACTAATCTTTGAGGACCAAAATTCGATATTAGATCATTTCTAAGTTTGGAGCCGAATGAATGAATATATTTTGCAAATGTGTTATGAATTTTTTTGTTCTTTGAGGATATGTATTATATCTTACTACACCAAGATTTGACAATTTATAGCAAAGATTTAAACACATTACTTTTACACCAATTTGATTTCATCTTTTTTTGGGTAAGTTTAATTTTTCTTCATTGAAAACTTACTTTAGAGGCTCGTGAAGTGGTGGACAACATTGATTAGATTTATAAAGTTTGCACATTGATAAGATTCTGGTGCATTTTTCTTTATCTTTAGTACTTTATCGGTGTTTTTTTATGTCGTTCTTGCCTTCATTTTATTAATGCTTTATGAAATGCATTCTGAAAAGGTTATCCGTGAGCTCGGTGGAGTGATTCTCTCTAGGGGGCCCAAACTCTGTAATTTTGTGGATTGGAGAGGGTTTAAAGTTCGAAACAAAAGGTAATACTACTATCTGTTAGTGAGTCTCCTTTTATGAGTAATCTATTTTACCATTTCAAATATTTATCAACTGATTTATGAGTAGATTTTGCAGATATGCTAGTCTTGACTTCTGCATCTGCGTTTTTGTCCTGCCCAATGAATTAGAGGTTCTAGAAATCATTCATCATTTTGTTGAGATACTTGATCGATACTCTGGCAGTGTGAGTGAACTTAAAATCAACTGTTATTTGAATTATTTATATTGCAGTATGTTTTATCTGATTTGAATTAATTTATATCCAGGTCTGTGAGTTGGACTTGATCTTCAACTTCCATAAGGTACAATTATTATGCTTGTCATGTACTAGTTGTTAGGGTTATGTTTCCTCTTGTCTTCTTTCGACAGCAGTTTACATCTAAATCCTTCCGCTTTATGTAAATTATGCTCTTATTCATGTAATCTTTAGCAGCAGTTATCCTCCAACTCCAGAACCACTCCATTCTTCTCATTCTTTAACATTACCTCATGTGCACGTAAATAACAAGAAAATCAGAAAAACAAGGAACCACAACAGTCAATACTAAAAATAGGATGACTTTGAATCATTCTCCAACACTCCCCCTTGATTCAAATTAAAAACTGCAATGTATTTAATGCATTTCTTGTCTCTTGCATACTAAACTATGTTTCCTCTTGGTGTTTTCTTTCTCATTTACTTGTGTTTCTCACCACTTTGGTTTTATTTGGTTCCCTGGTAATTGAAACATACATGTTTTGCAAATGTTGACAAATGATTTAATGCGTTTAAGTGAAGATGTTAATATTGGGAAAGAACGTACAATTTCTCATTTATGGAGTAAATAGCATGGTTCGTGAATTTCATTGTGGCCCTCTTTAGGTTTATTATTTATGGTGCTCCAATATAACACCATGAGCAAATTTAAAAAGTATATGGCACTTCAATCTGTTTTCTTTTTTTTGAAATTACATTTCTGGCAGGCCTCTTTCTTTGAATTTTATAGAACGACATGGTCTTGTTTTTCAAATTGGATGTGGGAGTTAAAAAGAATTTTGAGTTGTATTTATGCTTGAGTTTAGTCTGACCTGCAGGCTACAGTTGTGCTGGAAGTATGTTGTATTTAGATTAGGTGGAAAATCTTTGGCCTTCTTTTCATTGAAAAAAGGTGGAAAAAAGTTTACCTATAATAATTAACTACACCAAGGAGAATGGGTTACCTAGAATAATTAACTACACCAATGAATATAGTTTACCTATAATAATTAACTACACCAATGCTGATATTTCCTGCAATAATAAACCATTGGGCCAGAAGCACGTCTTCTAGCAGGTTACTTAGGCATAGTTGGACGTAATGTGAATCTGTTACCGATCAATTATGAGTCATGGCGCGAAATGCCTAATAGTAACAAAAATCAGGTGTTAGATTTTGTTAAGGTAATAATGTCATCATTAGTATATACTCTATAGAAATTCAATATTAATGTATTCTTACGGTGCACACTTATTTGTTGTATAAGGGAAATTTTCTTTAGAGGTCTCTGACGATTATGTGAAGCAAGCGTTAGGGAAGAGATGGAGGGACCACAAGAGCTCCTTAAAGAAGAAATACTTCAAGAATGATCTCAGCCTAAAAGAAAAGCTGCAAACAGCCCCACCTGAAATGCTCAGGTACCAATGGGAAGATGCAATCAGATTTTGGAGTTCACAAAAAGGACACGTATGATGTATTTTTCATTAATAATTGTAACGAATTATAAATCATCATTAAAAGTGGTTGTTTGACATTGTAGGACCGAGAGCATGTTGGCGTTGCTAGTAGGCAACAACAAAAGTTTACGCACATTGCTGGATCGAAGAGCTTTGCTTGTATAGCTAATGAGGAGGTATTATAGATTATTGGCATTGTTTTTCGTATTCCATGTACATACTAACTCATAGTAATTATATTATGGTGCATTGTAGGAAAATACATCTAGTTCTAAAGTTGGCTGAATTCAACTATTCGACATGACACATACGAAGAAGGATGACACTCCTATGACTGTTGAAGCTGTAGAAATTATGGTACGTTTATTGGGTAGATGTTTTAAATTTACCTAACTTTATTTATATTTGTACCATGACATTTTTTATTTTAATTTTTATTCACTTTATTATTAAGAAAAATTGAGGGAGAAAAGGGCGGAGTATCACGCTACTGGTTCGAGTCAAGGTCTTGTTAATGATGATGGCATTGAAAACCGAGCTATTAATGACGTTTTGTGTCCTGAAAGATATGGCCGGGTGCGCTGTCAAGGATCATTTGTTACTCCCACCAAATATTTTGGATCTAGTTCATCACAGTACATGTCATCACAGTCTCAATCTTCCCAATTAGAAGTTAGTCGTTTAAAACAAAAGTTGGTTGATATAGATCAACAAATTGCTAACATGAAAGCGGAAAATGAAGCAAGGAAAATAGCTGCAGCATAGAGAGAAGCATCATATCAGCATAGATGTGAAGAATTTGAAAAACGATATAATGATATGATGCAGATGATACAGAAAACTCAACCTCAAAATCCATCATAGTCTCATTTATGTTATCAGCATTCTGTTAATGTTATTGAACCGTGTTTAACTGAACTTATATTACGTTAATGAGAACTTTTATTTATTATATTGAATTTGATGTTGCTTGTTATTGATATAGAGTTTGATGTTATTGATGTCATGTTTGTTGGATAATGAAACAGGTTGAAAAAACAGATTTGGGGTAATCGATAATAAATTTTTAATTGTTTAAATTCTGTGTTATTTAGCGACGTTTGTAATAAAAACGCCGTAATATATCATACATTTAGCGGCATTGTATCAAAAAAGGCTACGAAATATTAACACTTATTGCAACGTTTTTTTTTATAAAAATGTCGCTATATACCAACTTTTAGCGGCGTTTGTATCTTAAAAACACCGCTATATACTAGACCTATCACGACGTTTGTATCCTAAAAACGCCGCTAAATACCAGACCTTTAGCGGCGTTTGTATCATAAAAACGCTGCTATATACCAGACCTATCGCGGCGTTTGTATCCTAAAAATGCCGCTAAATACCAGAATTTTAGCGGCATTTTCATAAAAAAAAGCCACTAAATCTCAACACTTATTGCGACGTTTGTGATAAAAACACCGCTAAATATCAATACCTATTGCAGCGTTTGTAAGACAAACACCACTAAATATCATTACGTATTGCGGCGTTTGTTTAACAAACGCGGATTGCGGCGTTTTTCATTAACAAACGCCGCGAACTTTAGTGCGCTTTTTGCGGCGTTTGTCATAACGCTTCAAGTGTTTTTTGCGGCGCTTAAAAACGCCGCTATAGGTAAAAAACTGCAAAAGCCAGTTTTGTTGTAGTGTTCATTATCTCCTGGTTCTTGGAGTTGGACCGTCCTTTTGATTGTCCCACACCCCAGCTGTTTAGCCATAAATTAGAACTAGAGATTAAGTTATCTAAGAATTAATTATTCACTAATTTGAATCTAATTAAAGACACCTTCCCCACATAGATGCAAAAATAGACTCAATTATATGTGATATAGAATATCTGCATACATCATCATACATGATACAAAATTTCATATGATTATTGACTCAAAAGTATATATTGTTTTCTTTTCATTAGTTATGAGCTTTTGTTGACAATTGTTCTTAGGATATTTTTCCTATGGGTATTTAATATATTATTTTGAACATTAAGTTTATGTTAATTATAATTAAGGACAGCTTTATTTAAGAATTTTGAAGTATCCTATGAAAAAAATTACCTCTGCAAATACAAATGATAATAGAACGGACGGAAACAAATATTATTAAATTTATTCTTATTCTATAATTTATAGTTTAATTTATGTCTTCCTATGCAATGTACCAATGATAATATTAGTCGAGCTAAAATCATTATTTGTTAACATAAATCATTAATAATGACTTAGGCTAACAATTCATTAATTATATAAGTCATTAAGTGAAATTACTATTACTAATGGTGTGAAAAAAATACAACTAATATTAATTTATGTTAATAAATTAGGACAATCAACATGTTACCTTGTAGTTTAAGATTATATCAATTAAGGATTTATAATCTAACTGGACGTTTTGCTTTGTTTGACACGAAACAATTTAAAATTAGATCTACAGTTATTTTCATTTCAATATTAAGCAATTTTGGTCAATGCATGTCTTGCATGGAATTCAGTCTTTTTAAAGGTTCAATTATGATTTTAGTCCTTATGCTCAGGGGTGAAGGTAGAAATTGTGTTTAGGAGTCAAAATTATTAATTTTTAGGAGGACCAGAGTGCAATTTAATCATTGTATTAAATTTTGATTTTACAATTCTCGATGGACTAAAGAGAAATTATACCATTTTGGGAGCCCAAAGCCCAAAGCCCTGCCAACCCTTCTAGCTCCGCTTGTGTTGTACCATGCTAAAATTTGAGATTTAGTCCCTCTATTAATATATTTGTCTATTGTTTTTATATAATTTAATCATCCATTTTGTTAGTGTTATTAATAGATCTCAATTAATAATATCATTCACCATTGAGGTTACACCTTGTTTTTTCAAAGCCATTTTATACATTGGTGGTAAAAAAATATTTCACAAGTGGATTTTAATAATGTGTTCTATTTAGAGATTAAAGTTAGGATCATTTTCGGTAGTGACATTAACTTTAATGTTGGTTGTCGACCTCTAATATTTTATTATTATTATTATATCATATCTGTTTTCTTTTGTTTTTTTGATTTCAATAAGTCTACATGTGTTGCACATTGTCATCTGTATTTACGGCACGTTTTCTTATGCTTTTTGATATGTTTTTCGGTTCTTTGGTCATTTTTTATTTATCTTTTTTTCTAAGGGTTGATTTGACATTGTCACGACTGATCAAGATGACGCTTATCTGATATATTGTTGATATTCTCTGCTTTGGACCCTCAGATTGGATTTAGATACCCGATTTGCGTTCGTAGATAGCTTTTCACGTCACTCGAGTTTGATTTGCAGTTTATTAGTGATCTTTCAATAGTTTCATCCCCTTTTGTGGTTCGTTTGTCGATGTGATCAAATCTGTTTGTATCTATCTTTGTTCGAGTTTCTTAGTTAGATTTAATCTTTCTTGTATGGTCATTATGTAGTCTTAATTTGCTAGTTTTGTTTCAAATATTATAGGATTTTTTTAATTATGTGCTTAATTTTTGTGATTGTAAATTTCTATTATAATTTAGGATATTTCCTATTTTGAATAAAATTATTTATTCTTATAAAAAAATTAGGATCATTTAAATATGCTAAATGTTACTTAGATATATATGTTTTAGATTTTTTCTTTCTTTCTCTACGTAAAATAATAATCCACTTTATTATTTTCTTAAGGCTTAATTAGAAAATAAATATCCAAACTATATTTCTTTTTCAATAGATTTTCATATTTTTTTGATTCATCCAGGTGTTTAACATTATAAACGTTATTATTTTAGGTGTCTCGGTCATAACGGTTGTTAAATTATACCGTTAAAGGTCAAGTGTCACATTCTAGTAATTTTAAAAAATTTATTTAAAATTAAAAAATTATTATATTTAAAAAAACTCAAATATTTTAAAACTCTAATTTTAAGCTCTAAACTCACATCAACTATCGCCCTTTTTCTGTCGATGAGCCTCCACTCGACTTCACCTTCACTCGATGACCGATAATCCCATGAAAAGTCATTATAACATGAGTCAATCGACGTCCAATCGATGTTTAACTTCACGTCCGGCACCCAAAGTGATAACATTTGTAACGTTATGCACCTGAATTATTGAAAAAAAGTTTGGACACCTATTAGTCATTTATTTACTTAATATAATTGATTGAATTTTCGTGTAGTTTAACTGTGTAAATGAAAGATTATCAGTTCAAATATATTAATAACGTTATAAAATTAGATAGATCGATTATATTAACGTAATAAAGAGATTAAAATCATAATTGGAAAATCTTTTTGAAGTATAAAGGTTAAAGGAGTCTTGGAGTATTAAGCTAGTTGAGTGGTTTAAAATGAAATTGGTAGGGCCAAAGCCATGTGAACAAAAGTGGATCTTAGTCCCCACAACGTGACATATGAATGTCCTTCACATGATCCTAAAACTCATCTCCTACTGGGTCACACCACTCTCCAGTGTATCCCCCATTTTTTTTTTGTATGTTGCTGAAGGTAATGACTTCAGAAATTTAAAAATTGAGATTTAAAATTTAAATATTATCTTATTAAAAGTAATGGATATGTAATTTTTTTTCATTTTTAAAAGTAATGGATATGTATTTTTTTTTCATTTTTCATTTTTTCTTAACACATTATATTAAAATTTAATATTTTTTAAAACAATAACATAAATTTACTCTCTAAGGACTTAATACATCCGCCTCTTAGTAGAGATAGGAAACCTAAGAGTCAAAGAACCACAAAGGATTTAACTCACCTCAAATTTCGTTATTAGTCCATGTACTATGAGTAAACTACATATTTAGTCCTTATAGTTTGTCACCGTATAGGTTAGAAAGCGATGATTAGTGTTGCCTATATGAAAGACATGAAAGGAACGGTGCGGTGCATATGGGGTCTTATCTTCACTGATTCCAAAATATATTCATATGATTCAAGTGCCTTCAAGCACCCAAAGAAGACCCTTAAATAGAAACAGTGTGTCCAACGATATACCCTCACAAAACGCATCTTCTTTTACAAGATGACGAGTAGCCTTATACCGACGTACAGACAAAGGTGTAAAACAGCAGATTACAGCTCATGGGAAGTTCAATCTCACGTGACCTATAATTAGTGTGGGCTATGTTATCCAAATTGCAATACCAAAATAGCAAGAAACTCTTACCCCTTGGTTAGAAAGCGATGATTAGTGTTGCCTATATGATATGACGATGAATCAATTCCAGATATCCCCTATAATTGAAATGAGAAAACAAGAAGAGAATTGCTGACAAAGATTAATTGTCAATAGAGCAGCCCACTGGCACTCAACAACACAAACATCAACACCATCCAACAACAACAATAACAAAGTTTTTAAACAATCACGACGTTAAAAGAAAATTACAAAGAACAATATTATCATCAAGCAACGGTCGTGTTCTCGATTGGCGATGTCCACATGATGTCTTTAAGCGCCGGTCGCAGCTCTTTACTGCAGAACTGATTGTACTCGAAGGTGTCGCCGTTTTCTTTCTTAAACTTCCACCACCGAAAACGACGGCGTCACCGAGAATATATCGGCGGCGATGGCTAGTTTCCCTTTCCTTCCGTATTCTTGTCCCTGTAACCGCACCCTTGACTCGCTCTTCTTGACGCTGAACTTTCCCGATTTTGCCACCTCTTCGAGCATCACGCTGCTCGCCGGCCTTGTGGTGGCGAATCTCATTTCTTATTTTTCTTCCCGTTTTTTCTCTTCAAACAACGGCCACAGATCGAAGCCTTCCGACAATGAAATTATGTGGAAAGCGTTCAAAGTCTCGGGCTTTGATGACTTATCGCCGTTGAAAGCTTCGAATTCGAGCTATTGTTTTGTTGTTATGGTCTTGGGATTGATTTTTTGAACCAAGACGAGTCCATGATCTTCGAGATTGTGATTCGGGTGTTCGGGTTCGGGTCTAAAAGCTTGGTGATAAATCTACGAGCTTCAGGCGAAAACCATGGCGGGCACTTGAAATCACCTCTGTAAATCTTTCTATACATTGCCACAATGTTATCATCTTGAAACAGTAAAAATCGGCGAGAAGGACGTATAAACTATAAAATCACCCTACAAGACCAAAGATCTGCCTTGGCTCCGTCGTATCCTTTTTATCCGATGATCTCCGGGGCTACATACGCTGGTGTTTGGCACGTCGTGTGTAACAAGCCGTCTTGTTTCAAGTGTTCCGAGAAAGCGCCGAGTCCGAAATCGGTGACTTTCAAGTTGCTATCTTCGTCCAAGAGCAGATTCTCCGGCTTCAAATCACGGTGGTAAACGCCTCGGCTGTGGCAGAAATCGACGGCAGAAACAAGCTGTTGGAAGTAAACTCTGGCCGCGTCTTCTTTGAGACGACCCTTGGCGACATTCGAGAACAATTCTCCACCGCGGACGAGCTCCGTGGCGATGTAAATCTTGGACTTGCTCGCCATAACTTCGTGTAATTCCACGATAGTTGGGTGCTTCACCATTTACATGACGGAAATCTCCCGCTTGATCTGCTCCATCATCCCTACTTTGATCACTTTCTCTTTGCCGACGACATTCATGGCGACGTTCTTCCCCGTTTGGAGATTCTTTGCATGATAGAATTTGGCGAAAGTTCCTTGACCCAATACACGACCGAGCTCGTATTTCCCATGCTGCAAAGATGGGTTCTCGTTCTTAGTAGCGTTCTCCGCCATTTTTGTAACTTATAAGCTCGAGAAATTAAAAAAGAACACCCTTTGAACTGAATTTACTCTATATTTACAAAACGAGAGATGAACGAAGAGAAATGAAAGATTAAAAGAAGATAGGAGAAGCTATGACTGGATGACCGATGAATGGAGCACCCGTCTTCGACGTGTTTCCGGTGACAATTCCGGCCGCCAATGGATCGTTTACGGTTGCCACAATGCTCAGGCCATGTCAACGATGAACTTCTCATCTCTCTGCATTCCCCAAAGGGATTTTTACATTTTTTTAAAACGAAAATTAACAAAAACAAATGAAAAAAAAGAGCCTTTTTCCTGTTATCTATAGTGGCAGGAGATTCAAGCTTTCTTTATTTTTTGGGATTCAGTGTTAAAAATGTAACTTATTGAAGTTTTCCCAAGGGTGGAATTATTGTTTTAGTCCCTTGAATTATCAAATTGTGATATTTGGTTGAGTAATGTGTTTGATTTGAAACAGTAGATCTTGACACGTGGGAGTCTTCAGGCAATAGTTTTGGCCTTTTTGTCATTTGCTAATTCCTATTGGTAGGTTCTTAATTATTCCGTGGGGTCTAATTTCGGACAAGTGAAAGAGGCAAATCTCTCGAGATAATTTTTCGAGTTTTTTATATCACAATATAACGTACTCCCAAGATTAATTGCTCAAATAGGACGAATTGCACAGTGTTGGCCGTAGGTCGCCATGCACTCCGGGCGACCAAGGAGGTCGTCATGCACGCCAGGCGACATGGGAGCGATGCATGTGGGAGATCTCTGCATGGGCATGTGGGAGCGGGAGCTGTGCATGGGCCATGCACGTGGGTGTAGGTCGCCATGGAGTCCCGGCGACATGGTAGGTCGCCATGGAGTCCCGGCGACCAAGCTATGGGAAATTCCTGCACCTGCACCACGACCAAGCTTTAATCCTATCCCTCATGCATGCATTGCATCCATAGCTGGGAGATTCCTGCATCGCGACCAAGCTTTAACCCTATCCCTCATGCATGCGTTACATCCATAGCTGGGAGATTCCTGCATCCGTAGCTGCATGCGTTGCATCCATAGCTGCATTATTGCAGCGTTAATTTAGCTGCTAAATGAAGCCAATATTGCTGTTCAAATGCAACCTTTCAATGCTCAATAGTTATACGATTCAATGCTAATATTATTTTCTTCAACAGTCAAATTTAATGACTCTGTCCAACGCTTTTTTTGCTTTATATAAAGGATATGGGTTTAGGGTAGAAGCAGAAGCATAACCATGAGCATAAGCATAAGCACATATAAACTTTGCCGAGAGAAAGAAAATGAAGAAGAAGAAAAGAAGATAAAGGATCAAACATAGTTCGTGAGGTATTTTTTTTATTGTTTAATTTAGTTTATTATATGAAATTATTAGTTTGTTAGTTTAGGGTTTAGGGTAAAACTAAAATCTAGTTAATTAGTTTGTTAGTATAAATTATTAGTTTGTTAGTTTAAGTTATATTATATTAGTTTGTTAGTTTAAGTTATATATTATATTATATAAAAAATTAGTTAATTAGTTTATTAGTTTAAGTTATTAAATATAAAAAATATTAATTAATTTGTTAGTGTCTTTAAACGTATATTAGGTTGTTCTTTGAAGTTGAAGTTATATTATAAAAAAATTAATTAGTGCTTAATTAGTTTGTTATTTTAACTAAGTTATATTATAATAAAGAAATAGTTTATTAGTTTAAGTTATATTATAATATATTAGATTGTATAAAATTAATTTGTGGGAGTTATTGTTGTTTAAATGAATTAAACGGTTTACACATACAGGGCATTATTTCACAATATTTGCTAACATACAGATGATTCGAAGAAAGAAACAAAGAAGGAAAAGATAGGAAAGGAATAAGGCATAAATACGTGAGTAATTTATTATTTTTTGTTGTCAATTTTTTGTTGTTGTGTATGTGTAAATTATTAGTTAGTAAGTTTATATTAGATTATATAAACTAA